TCATGAGGCTTGGCTGGCAAGTGCCTTTATCCACTAAACCATCTCACCTACCCAAAACCTCTTTAAAAGAATGAAGAAAGCAATTTAGGGGAGAGGATATTTCTTTGGGCTCACAGTTCCAGACTATAGTCCACCATATGTGGGAAGTTGCAGAAAGAGAAGCTTGAAGGAGCTGATTGGTCACGTCACATCCATAATCAGAAACAAAGAGCACAGGCAATGCTCAGCTCACTCTCCTGCCCACTCAGTCCATTCTCCCATGAAAAAGTGTCCCCCTCATTCAAGCTTTGTCTTCTCACCTCAATTAAACCAATTAAAATCCCTCATGGGCATATCCGCAGGCCAACCTAATCTAGATGATTCCACTTGAGATTCTTTTCCTAGGTGATTCTAAATTGTGCCAAGTTGATAAAACTAGCTTGCACCCATGTTTATGAAAGACTGTATCTTGTTTCATTCAGAACTTCATTGAGAATTGTTTGGCATTTAAAAATTAATCAGCTCAGCTCATCAAAGGCAAGATAATGTTACAGAAGACATTGCATCTGATGGGAATGCTTCAAAGAAAATTGGTGGAGAGTTGTTTTTTTTTTTTTAATTCATGCCCATGGCACAAAGAAAGGAGAAAAAGCAAACAGTATAAAAGGACAGAGTTCATATTCAGCTATTCTCCAGTGTACGTGTTTCTTTCTCCACAGACACCTGATTCTAGAAGAATGGTTTTTAAAAATCACTTCAGAGTATTGATTTTATGTCTATTTGAAGGGAAAGAATGAGGGGCAGAGAAAGGGGCAGGATGGAGAGAAGGAGTTGATAGCAAAGCAAACAAATCCACATAAATGAATGTTAGAGCACAGAAAGGGCAAGGAAAGATACACAGGGAGGGAAGAGACAGACAGGCACGCAGAGAGCCACACAAGCATGTACTCACGCACACATGCTCCCCCCCTCTGTGTGTGTGTTTGTTTTGTTTTGTTTTTCAAGACAGGGTTTCTCTGCATAACTTTGGAGCCTCTCCTGGAATTCTCTCTGTAGACCATGCTGCCTTGAACTCACAGAGATCTGCCTGTCTCTGCCTCCTTAGTGCTGGGATTAAAGGCATGGGCATGCACCATCACCACCTGGCCACATACACACCTCTTAACTGTGGTTAACTAAGAGCACAGATCTTTGGTTCCCTTGACACACTTCCATTCCATTTGTCTTAGGACAACAGCTCTGTACTGCTTTTGCAATTCATAAGATAAAATTGCACAAGAGTAAAGAATGAAAGAGTAAAAGCAGGAGAACAGGAATCAACTAGTGCTAGTCCAAACAGCAAGATAATCATCTGAGATCCTACTGGCGAGTGCAGCTAAAGGAATGTGCTGAGGAAGGATTTCTTTAGTGAGAAGAGAAACTGAAAGGTGACAGTTGGAGTGACTAGGGAGACAGGAGGCTACCTACTGGCCAGCATTAGCTGGCCACCCATCTACTTTCTGCCACAACTTTTTACTGACTGCCTCTCTCTTTGTTACATGGTTGCTATACACTTCCCAAGGCTGGAGGATCGTTGTAAAGGTGTTTTGCTTTGTTTCATTTTTAGATAGGTATGAAAAAAGAGCAAGTAAAGTTAGAGTCTACATATCACAGTCTGTTTGCTTAGCATGTGTGAGATCCTGGGCTCCATGCCCAGGATGTGATATAAAAAAAGACTGACATGCATCACATGCCCAGTGCTTAACAGATGAGCTAGACTCTAGCTCAGGAAAATATGAGCACATCTTGTGAGCATATTATCATGAAAACACAGAAGGTATCAAACACACACTTTGCTGCTAGTCATTTCACTGTTCAATGTTAACTGCAGAGGAAAAATATACCAAAATATGCTTTCGAGGTTTAAATAGACCCTATTATCTTTCTTGGCCTATAGCTTTCTAGACTTAAAGTGGCTCCATCTCTGGCTCATTTGGACATCTTGTTTGTGCTAAAGACAGACTATAAAGAAAAAGAAATAAAAAAGGAGAATATATAGTCCCAAGAAGTTACATTTAAAGTTCCCATACAAGGTGACTTAGAAAAAAATAAAACTGAGCTAGGCACGTTGCTCAATGGTAAAGCACTTGCCTCGTATATACAAGGCCATGGGTTCAACTCCACAGCACCAAAAGAAAATGGTTTTCTTTTTTAGTTGATACTGCTCAATTGAGCCAACTGTCTGTGCAATAAGGTAAGGTGACAGCAGCTGCAGTCCCAGGGCGATACTTCATGACAGAGCTTTGGAGCCCAATGCCACTGGCAACAGAGTGCTTAGGGCAGAACTGGTACCTGAAGGTATCCTTACCATGATCCAAAATTCCAATTCATGCCCTTTCATAATCCTACATCTTCCAATCTTCAGAGTTGCAAAGCTACATTCTGCCCCTTTCCACAGCTTCCCTCAAGACACAACAACTCACAAGGCAAGACAAATAAGCATTCCCCAGCTGCTGGTGACAGAGCAAGGCAAATAAGTGCTCCCAGTGGGAAGCCTGCCCTGTCCAGTGCTTAACGGAGCAGAAAGACACGAGCTGAGGAAAAAAAGAGCACATCTTGTCGGTACCTCGTCATGAAAACACAGAAGGCATTGAATACATGTCTTGCTGCTAGTCATTTAATGTTCCATGTGTCTATATAGGAAAAAAAATATACTTGAGAAATTAAAATAGACCTCATCTTTCTTAGCCTTAGAGCTTGCAAGACTTAAAATGATTCCTTTTTAGCAAGTTGCTTTGTCTGTGTGTCGGAAACATTCAGAAAGCCTCCTCTTGGTATTTTGAAATCTACAAATATATTGTTGTAAATGATTGAAGTGATGGATGTGCAATAAGCCTTGATTTTGTCATGGTACAGTGTATCTATGTAACAGGGGCCCTAGGGGTTAGAATTTCCCAGAGGAAAATCCATGCAAGGGTGAGGCTAAGCCACCCACAGGAGCCCTGGTACCAGAGAATAAGCTGGTTTCTCACGAGAAAAGATTTATCTCTGGCTTCTAATAACTTGATATCACCGCTAAATTCATATACGCATTGTTTCAAGCTTGTTGCTTCACCTTTTATAAATTGTAACACTGACAGGGACAAGGCCCAGAGGGATTCAGAATTTCTGTTTGCTCAGTTCTGGCCAAAACAAAATAAACCCTTCACTTACTTTGGTGTGTATGTTTGGGGAGGGGAGGGAAGGGGAGGGTGAGGAGAGGGTGGGGAGTAAGCTTATGCATGCTTGTACATGTGGAGGCCAGAGGCCAACATCCGGTATCTTCCCCAATCATTGGCCTCATTATTGTTCAATGTATTGCTTTTACTTGTTTCTTTTAAATTTAAAGTCAACATACACAGTATTTGGTTTCTTTTTGACACGTTCTCCTGCCTATCTTCTACCCCATCACTCTGACACCACCACTTTAACTTTTGAGGCAAGTTCTCTCACCAAACCTTGAGTTCACTGTTTCAGACAGACACAGGCCACTGTGCCTAGCTTTTACATGGATGCCAGGGGTCCTCGTGCTTGCCCACCAAGCACTTTACACACTGAGCCATCTCCCCAGTATCTTAGTTGTGAGCTGAGCCAAGAACCTGAAATTCCTATGGCACATGTTCAGCTGTCATACTGCATCCCATGAATACAATTAGTATGTGCCAGTTTAGATAAATATGCCTAACTCAAAAGGAAAAGACTCTATTAGCATCATGATAATCAATATAGAAATAAGATGCAGAGGCACCTACCAACCCAGGATGTCTTACAGTACTTGCTAACTGACGCTTTCCTTGTTGTGCCCTTTTAAAAACAGAAATAAAAGTAGAATTTTTTGTTTTGTTTTTTTTTGGTTTTTGCGACAGGGTTTCTCTGTGGCTTTGGAGACCGGCCTGGAACTAGCTCTATAGACCAGGCTGGTCTTGAACTCACAAAGATTGTCCTACCTTGGGCCTCTCTAGTGCTGGGATTAAAATCGTGTGCCATCCCCCCCCCCACATACACACACATATCACCCCCTCCAGCTGAAAGTTATTAAAATCCTCCTTAGAGTCTGGCCAAGTCACAGCACCTTTTTACTTTTATTGTCCTATTCCTTACTTTACAGAATCACTGAATGTCCACACTGTAGTCAGTTATACTGTGACATCCTAGTGTGTGGCCCTTAGTAGATGTAGGCCTAAAATCGACCTACATATGAACCCTACTTCTACCTTGCAGTGGACACTCAGCCTTGAGTAAGCGTCTCTGTGTCTTAGTTTCCTCTTCTATAAGGTAATATCTAATAACCTCATAAGCAACAGAGACAATCTGGCTACCATCCCAGTCAGTGTTCATTTAATCCTCACAACTCCTAGAAAGTACCATCTCCATGGTACAGGTGAAACAACCGAGCCACAAAGAGATCCAGTGACTTCCCTACCCACATATGATTGGCCATCTGCAGGGCCAAGGATTCTAAGGCAGGTCAGTTCCAGAGTCTGCGTTCTAACCATACCCACAGCTTCTGCAAATGAGGCCCCATCTGCTAAAAGCTGGTTTGAATGCGCCACTGAGTTTTTGGCAAGTGTCTGCTGGGTAGCAGCTGTGGTTGTTATCCAAGGTCTGTCTCTTCTGCTGTCTGTACAACCTTTTAGTCGAGTTTTAAAATAAAAGAGGTGGATGGGAGAGAAGACAATCGGGGAAGGAGGAGATAGAATGTGAAAAGGGGCAGAGAACTGCAAGGTAGAGAGACCTGTGCATACCTAACAAGAAACGTCTGTCGTTGGCTTGGCCTTGAGAGAACAGGGTGACTATTAACCACAGAAAATGGAAGCCCCAGTCGTTGCAATTGCATTGAAAATAGATGCTGACTGGGCATGCTTCAGATACCTGAGAAAGTCTCCTTCGATCCCACCCTAGCCGGGAGGCGCTGCTCGGGCGTGGGCGCAGCTTCCCGAGTTCATCTCGAGAGTCCGCCCCATGCCGGGCGGGGCCTGGCCGGAGTACTCTGCTGGTGGCCTGTGAGCCCCAGGCACCAGCCACGAGGTAGCCAGCCAGGGCCTGGGTCTCAATGGCTACGTGGAGGCGGGATAGCCGGCTAACCTGCAGCCAGCGGCTCCTGTGTGCAGGACTGGCGGGGGCATTCAGCCTCAGCCTCACCGCGCCCCTGGAGCTCGCCACTGTGCTCGCCCAGGTCGGAATGGTGCAAGGCCACACCCAGGGGCTGTGGGCCACGGGACGCCGCGTATGGCTGGCCGAGGGGCCGAGAGCCCTGTGGAAGGGGAACGGCGTGGCTTGCCTGCGCCTCTTCCCCTGCAGCATGGTGCAGCTGGCCGCCTACCGAAAGTAAGAGTCTGGAGGGAGGGGTCGGGAGGTCGGGCTGGGGTGGCAGAGTGGCCACCCTGATGTACCAGCACTGGGAATCCTAAGAGGTTTCAGTCTCCCTTGCTTCCTTCCTAGTAACAGAGGGGAGGTGCTTGAGGTCACAGGCCAGATGTGTGACCTCTAAAGCCCAGTACCCATTTTTTCACATGATTTTGAGATTCCTGCCCTGTGGGCTGCAGTTTTGGGAATTCTTTAGTCTTTCTGAGAGGAACAAGAGGAGGAAGCAGAATTAGCAAATGATATCTGGCGGTAAAGAAACAAAAAAGCTTCCCAAGGAGGTGAGGTGTGATGACCATTCCCATTGTCCAGCAACTTGGAAATGTTTGCTTCTGCTGGCTTAGGAGAGAATGTTCCTGAAGGTATGTGTGTGAGAGAGACCAGTGTACCCAGGAGTAAGTAAGTGCTCAGTACAGGAAGAGGGACCAGTCTCAGAAAGATTCCTGCCCAGCCTAACTTGGTGTCAGGATTCAATGGGGGCCTGTAGCTTCCTTTTCCCAGGAGGGACCTGTCTTCTCAGCCTTATGTTCCCCGCCCCCACTCCCGGCCACCCACTGATCTCATCCTGTGGACTTTTGTCACCTTCTCCCACATCAACTACTCAGGGAAAGATCTAGAGATACAAATGGCGGGTGCAGTGAGGGATCTTAACAAGAACTCAAGAATATTTGCATGAGAGCTGGAAAGGAAGCCCAAAAGAAGAAAGCCACTGGTGGCAACTCTAGAGGAGGGACTATTTCTCCATTGGGGAAATGGAGTTCTTGCATTCTTCGTTAGGTAGGCACAGTGCCAGTTCTAAAGGCTGGCCTTGGCTGTAAATTATACAAACAGGCAGGAGCTGGACTGGCTACTTTTTGTTGTTTCCAGTGCTGGACATGAAACCCCAGACCTTGAAGTCAGTGAGTGAGGTATTCTGCCACTGTATTCCCAGCTCAACAAACTAGTCAGTCTTAACCATAGTGCAGGCTTGGAAGAGAGTCAAGAGTATCTTGACACTTACTTGGAAGGCCAGGGCTGAGAGGCTTGCCTGGCAGTTGGCCCTTATCTGTGGGTGCTCCAGGCCATCTTCTAAGGCTTCCATCTGGCTTCTGCTGTTTCCCCAGCAAATATGGCCTACAGTCATGAGTTTTACTGATTCAATTTCTCCCTACTTTGCTCTCTAATGTACAAAATAGTAGGGAAATCTTTCCTTGGATAAGACAGAATGTGTCCAGAGGAGCAGGAGGAGGGGACAGATTTTTCAAAGCCTGGTTCTAATGGCATGGCTTTTCTATTAGCTATCTTACACATGGAAATCATTTGGCCTCCACACCTTTGCTTCCTGCCTAAAACAGTCCACAGGACAGAAAGTGCTATGTCCATTTTCAGGGGTAAAGAACTGAGCTCACAATGGGACACTTCTAGTTAGTGGCCTTCTGATTCCAAGTCTCATATTGTATAGCACATTATGCCACCTTTCTGTCTTCATTCATTTGACATTTGTTAGGACACAGAAGTAACCATCATGTATGTGATGCCAGAGACAGTGCAAGAACAAAAGCAGTAGGGTCAGTCCCCCTGCCTCAGTTTATAAAGTAGTTAAGCAAAAAGGACTGGTTATACCTCAGTCCACACACATAAACTTTAATTTCATCAACATAAATTGCCAGAAGATCAAGTGCTGTAGAAATGTACATTTTTGGTAAGGGATGAGAAGATGGGAAGGCTTCACAGAGGAGAACCAACTATCTAGTTTGGCCTTGGGAGAACGAGTAGGAAGGAGTCTCATGGGCAGAGATGAGGCATTGCAGGCAATGTCAGCACAGGCAAAGAAGGGGAAAGGCATGCAGCACAAAGAGCTGGAAAGGCAGGTCGGGGTGAGATGTTGAAAATCAGACGTGGTATGTGAAGGTAGCTTTGGGAAATGTTTATGCAGGGTGGGGGTAGTGCTGTGATGAGAAATTCAAGGGTGATGATTGTCTCCTGGTGGCAGGGTAAGATGGAAGAGGAGAAAGACCGTGGGTGGTAGTAGCAGGCAGGAGCCTGTCACACCGTGCAGCAGCTGAGAGTATCTGTAATGGTTACAGAAAAGAAATAAGAGAGGCGCAGAGGGTTACATAGACTAGGTTTGCTAATATTTTTTTTCTGACAGAGTATTTTCTTCCTGAAAACTAAAAGGAAGAATTCTAGTGAATGACAAGGTATAGTTAGAAAGGTTGATCATTGTGAAGGCATCCTTCCCACATAAAGTTGGTAGTCATGGATTATCATCCTACCCATTCATTTGCACTGTCTCCATGAATTTGCAAAACAGGTGGCATGGAATAACAGTACACTCTCTGGTCATGGGTTGGAACAAAACTTCCAGTATATTCAGTGAATGAAATAGTTGAAAAATCTATCCAAATTACAGTGACAGAGCTACAACGTGACAACCTCCTCTGGCTCCTTAGTCCAGGGTTCTGTCCACTACTGCACAGCCAAAATATCTACCTAATTAGATTGAAATGAAAGATGATGGCTGGTGCTATGTTTCTGTCACAAGCAACTATTGGCTGATACAATGGATGGCTTTCAAACACATCAAAAAGAAAGTCCTCCTCCAGCTTGATTACACAACGGCTTGTTCGTCTGAATATATATTAGTTTGGGTCCCTGCAGTTGTGAATTTTTCAGAGCAACCCCCATTTCGTCTTTTCATAGCCAATGAGCTTGTGTTGGGATGTTTAGCGGCTAGCCTGTGTGAGCACTGATTACATATATCTGGGTTGTGTGTTGAATCTGCACGAGCCGAAAGGAAGGGGTTCCTGCAGATCACCAGTGCATTCCGTCTCAGTCTCACTGAATAAAGCTTCTATGTGGGTATGTACGTACATGAGGAAGAACAAAAATGGAACACTGCCTCCCTGGCCAGTCAGACACTTTTAAGACATAGGGACTACAATGATGTTATTGGTAGCCTAACGTTATCTACATTGACTCTGGTTTTTTAGATGTGTTATGAGTGTTTCCCTGCATGTAAATACGTGCACCATGTGCATGCCTAGTACCAAAAGAGGTCGGAATAAGGCACCAGATCTCCTGTAACTGGAATTACAGATGGTTGTGAACTGCCATGTGGGACCAAGCTATATGCAGACCAAAGCCTGGCCCTCTGCAAGAACAGCCACTGCTCTTAAGCACTGAGTCATCTCTCTGGCCCCTTGACTTTCCTATTCTAAGGGAAGATAATAGGTTAGGAGTATTAGTAGAAAGAAGTTCTTCTTTTTCATTTTCTGCATTTGATAGTTAAGACAACAAACCAACATAAAAAGATAGGGTTCCTCTTCCTAGTTCAAGTACTTTAGTAAGCCAAGGGCCTGTTTCCTTTTAGATGCCTCTTTCAGTCAGTCATTTCCTTGTTAGGACTATAGTGAGAGATTCACCTTGTTTGCACCTGTGGCATAGACCACGCCCATTGGGGGGTGGAGACAAGGCCAGATGTGACCTGGGGGAACTAAGGCTGAGGAGGGGGCTCGGAGAGCTCTCTTGCTTGCAGCACAGGGACAGGAGAACATCCGGAGGCATCCTTGGGACCAGGAACCTGCTGGTGTTCATCTGTCTATGATGTGAGTTATTTCTCCCTGAATAAACATCTATTTGGCCTATTTGTTTATCCTGATCCTTATTAAACATCAATATAGGACTGCTGAGTTCTTCTTTGTGATATATGTTGACAACTAGCACAGTATCTGGTGCATTATGGTTAGTCAACAAATGGGCAATAAATTAGCTTATTTCCTAGATTGGCTGAATGGGATGAGTAATAAGAATGGGACAATGAAAAAGAATGGTGCTGCTTCTTGCATTCTAAACTCCAAGTAGGGTTTTTTTTTTTTTTTTTTTTTTTTTTTTTTTGGCCAGCTTGCTGCAGATAATCAGAGAAGCATTTCTATTTTGTTATCTCCTGTTCCTCCATCTTGCCTAGCCAGGGGAAAGAAGTGGTATGCCGGCATTAACACAGAAGTCAGTGGCCCATTGGTGAATGCCAGCTTTAATTGTCTGTATATCATTCCCTTCAGTGCTGGGAGCATAGCCAGGACTCCAATTGAGATGCACCAATAAGCCCTTGAAGGAGATGTTATGAATGAACATCAGATGGTTTCACCTGAAAGCCTACTCATTATTCATCAGGCCAGCTGTCATCTGAACAACAGGAAACCTACCCTTCCACTGGAAGTTTGAGAGCCAAAGAACTGGGAATGCTCTCACTTTGAAAAAGATAAAATTATTTTAGCCCAACTCTGTTCACTTTTATTCCAGACTCTCGGTATCCTCCTTGTACCATTCTGTGGCAGGAAGTACTATTTTTTCTAGTTTCACAGCCTCATCGCTAAGGAATTAACTTGCTTTTTGTAGCTTGGAATGGTGTAGACGTACCCCTGAAAATATTTCTTCTGGGGTAGACACTTGTGATTGGTAATGCCCTGCTTCCCTCCTAACCCCCACAAAAAAAGGCTTATAACAGGATATTTTATGGTTTGCGTTTAGGAAAGTCCATGCAAAGTCATTTTTACTAAATTGTAAACCTACTGAGAAATGAAAAGAATAGTTTGTCAAACACTCATATACCTACCACCCACAATTTACATACCATTTTAAAACAGAGTCTCTCTGTGTATAGATTGGCTTTTAACGTATTCTGTAGCCCAGGCTGGTCTCAAACTGAAGATTCTCCTGTCTTAATCATCCAAATGCTGGGATTACAGGCCCATACTACTAAACCCAAAATATCTTTGGATATTTGGGAGTGGTGGTTAGCTTTTGGTTTTGGTTTTAGCAATTCTGGGCATCAAAACAGGGCTTTGAGCATGATAAATGATCATGCTACCACTGAACTCCATCCTCAGCCCCCTTGTTTCAATTTTGAGTTCAAGTCTTGACCAAGCATCCTCAAGCCAAAGTGTTGCTTCTTCTGCCAACCTCCCAAGAACCCATGACTACAGGCATGTGTGACAAGACCCCCCCATCCATGAATCTCTCTTAAATATAATAAAGCCAGGATGAAGGTAGAGTCTTCTTCATTTTCATTCTGGGTCCTAGTCCCTCTCCCCTTCCCCACGGGTTCACTTTTATACTTCCTCACAAGTACCTGTTTACCTTAAACAATACTGATGAGTTTTATTGTTTATGGTTGTCATACACTATAGATCATCTGCAGATTGTTTCGTTCATTCATCATTATGCTTTTATGACTTATTTCTTGTGTTTTTATGATTTATCTAAGCTCATTGATTTTAGCCAGATGGGATCCATTGAATGACAATGTCATTGTTTTTTTTCCACTCACCTACATTTTGACATTTAATTGTTGAAACTTTTCATTCTTATAAGAAATGATTGGCCTGGAGAGATGGCTCTGAAGTTAAGAGCACTGGCTGCTCTTCCAGAGGTCCTGAGTTCAATTCCCAGTAGCCACACAGTGGCTCACAACCATCTACATGACAGGACACTATACATAATAAATAAATAAATCTTTAAAAAGAAACTTAAAAAAGAAAGTTAAAGAAATGTTTGTAGTGTGTCTTCACATGTAGATCTATAAGAGTTCCTCTAGGCTATGAACTAGAAAATGGAATTACACGGTAAAAACATGTGTTTCTCTAAATTTACTAGATAATGCAAAATGACCCTACCAATTTTATATTCCTTCCAGCAAAGGGCAAGGGTGTCAGTTTGCACACTTTCTCTCCATCATTTGATATGATGACAGTCTGCTGGATGAGAAGTGGATATCTTGTCATGTTTTTATTTGTCATTTGTCTGATAACTAGTAAAACAGCAGCTTCACTTGTAATTACCATTATAAAGAAAACTAATTCTTTACACTAAGTTTAGCAGAGCTTATTTGAGCAAAACCAAACCAAACACAATTCTCCAACCAGACACCTCCCAGAACCCAGGAGTTTCCAAGAAGTTAAACCCACCACATGACAGACAGCATTTCTGGGGGCAGGGAAGGGGGGAAGCAAGGTATTGAAAACAGCTTAATTGGTGGCAACTTTGTGATCCAATCAGCTGATTCACTGTAGGTTAGCTAGTTAATAATTATAACCTAATCAGCTAGCTGGATGTAGGACCCTCTGTGGGAAGCCAAAGCCCGGTGGCTATGATTAAAATTGATATTGGCTTGGACTTTGGGACTCAGAACTTACTTTCTGGGATGCTGGACTTGGCATGAAGCTAATGTGTGGAAGACTTTGGATTCCATTCCCTGTGCTGGAGAAGAGTAAAATTTCTGGATTTTGCAGTTATTTCAGGAAATTCTATCCCCTTTCAATTTTAAGAGTATGGAAAGACTGCATTCCAATGTAGCAATTGCCCAGTGCCTTTACAGCCCACCAGCAAGTTAGATGGTTATGCAGATAAAAGGGGAAAATTCTGAAAGTGAAGTGGGAAGGATTTGGGGAAGATACAGATCAGAAGCTGGACAGTTCTTCCTTATATGAGGGTAGTAGAATTTGAATTCACTGCTCAGTAATCCCAGTATACTTCTGACACTTTTCACATTGTAAAGCATTTCCAAATGCTAGGAAATATTTGAAGCATGCCAGCATAGTCCAAAGCTCATATCTTGAGAACTTTCTTTGTTTTTCTGCCCAGGTTTGTTGTGCTGTTCATGGATGACCTAGGCCATATTTCCCAGTGGAGCTCCATTGTGGCCGGAAGTCTGGCGGGCATGGTTTCCATGATTGTCACATACCCTACAGACCTCATCAAAACCCGTTTGATTGTGCAGAACATGCTGAAACCATCTTACAGGGGGCTTATTCATGCTTTTTCTACTATTTATCAACAAGAAGGGTTCCTCGCCCTTTATCGAGGGGTATCCCTCACTGTTTTAGGTAAGGTGGAACTTGACAGCTCTTCTCAACACATGTGAAGGTATTGTGTACTTTCATGAACATTTAAATCGATTTTAGAGGCCTCAAGATTGTAGGCTAAAAAAGGCAAGTGACTCAGAAAAGCCTGGCTTCAAAGCCATCCTCAAAACTGCCCAGCTGATAGGCATCTTCAGTGTGTATATGTACAACAGGATCTCAGTGATATCTATATATAACCTTTGACAGAGCTATACATAAACAGGACCTCTTTCAACTCCAGTAGAATATAGTCCATCTAAGTAGTACTAGGTAACATTATTCACCCTGTCCTTTAGAGACTTAGCTTCTAGGGTGCCACTGTCTTCTGGGTGTCTTCACATCTCTCTTATCCAATATACCTGGCCCATCTGGGTCATCTGACATTGTCAGCTTGCTTATGTATGGTCCCCAGGCTCCTCCCTCAGCTTTATTTTTACCTTCTATATTGGCTTTCTTTTTTATTGGTGTTTATGATTATTTGTTTGTTTGTTAGCCCTGGCTGGTCTGGAACTTGCTACATAGACCAGGCTAGACTCTAACCTGCAGTGATCCTCCTACCTGTGCCTCCTGAGTACTAAGATTACAAACACACATCACCATACCCAGCCTTCTACATTGGCTTTCTTACCCTGCATCCCCTCTCTAGATGACTCTATCCTAAGCTAGTAGTTTCAACAAGCATGAGTATATTTTGACTCATATCTTTTATAACAATGCTGACATTTTTAGGGGTACTAAGTACTTTTCTAAAAGCTTTGGCTATAATTTCTCATTCAATTTTTTTTATCTTTTTATTCTTAGGCTTTTTATTAAGTCTGAGAATTTCATATAATGTACTTTGATCATATCCCTACTCCTCCCCTAACTCCTCCAAGATCTTCCCCTTTATTTCCCTACCCCTTTCTCAAGTTCTTGTGTTCTTTGTTAATAACCTACCCAGTCCAATCTGTATTGCCCATATATTTATATATTTATGGGTACAGGGCTGTCCACAGGATTATGGTCAAATTACCAGGGCCACACTCTTGAAGACATACAACTTTCCCTCCCCCATGAAAGTTTACTTTTATTATTTATTAATCACACACATATATATTTCTATCTGTATGTAGAGGTTTGTGCTCAGGAATGTGGGTCTAGAAGAGAACACTGGATGGATGTTCTCACATGGGTGCTGAGAATCAAACTCATGTTCTCTGCAAGAACATAGCATACTAACTGCAGAGCCATCTCTCCAGCCCTCTTATTTTTAATTGATATATACTTGTATATATTTATGAGCTATATTTGATATTTTAATACACACATATATTCCATAATGATCAAATTAAAGCACTTAGCATATCCATCACCTCAACCATTTATCATTTCTCTGTTATGAGTTCCCCCAGTCTCCTATCAAGAATCTCTTTTTTTTGGGCTGGAGTGATGACTCAGCTGTTAAAGGCTAGGCTTATAAACAAAAAATATAAGAATCTCTTTTCTAGCTACTAGAAATGTACAATACATTATTATTAACTATAGTTACAATGTTGAACAATAGAACACAGCTACTTATTCTTCATATCTAACATTTAACTGTTTATTTCAATTTTGGAGACAAGGCCTGGAACTTGTTATGTAGTCCAGGATGCCCTTTAACTCTTCATCCTCCTGCCTCAGCTTCTTGAGTACTAGAATTACAGATGTGTGCCACCTTACAGACCTGTCTAACTTTTTGGCTGTTGAACAATCTCTTAGACTTCATTTTACAGATATGGAAGCAGGTGCTTAGGAAAGCTACATGACTGGCCCAAGATCACACGGACAGTGGGGCACACTATGATTCTGGGACCTTCTCCTTAGCTACTTTATGTCAGTTCCTAGTGAAACCACACCTCAATTGGAAATGATGATCTCCACGTTCCCTGGGTGAAAAATCTGATGTCCTCACTAGTCTGAAACTTACTTTTCTTTATGCATCCCCTAGTACATAAAACTGCCTTCCTTCCTTTCTCCCAGTGGCCCAAGCTCAAAGAAAATCAGGAATCACCTTGGTTCCTCCTCCCACTACAGTCACTAAGCCTTGTCACTGTGACCTCTTTTAATGCATATGCCTGTACTCTCTTCTGCCTTATCTCATGCCACTGTCATCTTTCTTACTGACTTTAGAGAATCAGACTCTCCTAAAGATTCATGTTCTTATCTCTTGCCCTATCTCCAGTGTGCCCTGTGTACTGCTCCCTGGCTACGATGATCATTCCACTGCAATCCTTAAAACCTAAAGGAGAAAACCAGAATTCCTATGGCATTCTGGATCCTTCAGAATTGGCCTCTGCCAGTCTGTCCTACCTCAAGCCTAGCCTGTAGCATGCCTCTACTTGCTGTCATGTTCAAGTACATAGAAATCCGTGTGCTTCCTAGAAATACACATTCATTGTACGTAATACATATACCCTTTGCCTGGACTCCCTTTCCACACTCTCAGTGTCTGATGGACCTACTGTTTGCTCAAGAACCACTTCAAAAGTTCTCTGTTCTAAACCAACTGTGGTGATTCATGCATATAGTGCAATCCCAGTGCTCTAGAGGTTATGGTAGGTGAATTGAGTTCCAGGCTAATCTTTGCTACATGGTATTCTAGTCTTAAATGACAACAGACATGCCTAGTTGGGCCTGTAATTCCCCCTTAGCTTTAGGAGGTGGAGGTTCAAGGAGGAAGCAAAAGTTCAAGGCCCACCTGGGCTACAGAGTTCAAGTTTAGCCAATTTGCCGAGACCCACATCAAAGAGTTAAAAGGGTTATGGCAGGTAGAGTGGGGTTGGGACTCTATGTTCAATCCTTAACAACGCAGAGAGAGATAATTCTCTTTTCTGTCAATTCTTTACTGGTTCTTCTGAGCAAAATTAATCACTCTGATGCTTAAGTATATAAATCAGCTTGTATAACTATATGTACATATATGATGTGATACACACGCACACACATCAGGAGCGTCATAAGTAGTATTCCCTACCTATCTCCTCCAATTGATGGTAAACATCTCCAGAAATTAGCTTGTTCTGAGTTATAGTCCCAGAACCTCACATAGGGCCCAACACACAGCAAAAGATCCTTCAGTTTCTGTTTCAAGATAGGGTCTAATGTAGTACAGGCTAGGCTTGAGCTCACTATATAGGCAAGGCTGGGCTTTAACTCCTGATCTTCTTGCCTCAGCCTCTCTAGTGCTTCTCCAAATGTTTTTGAATAAGAATAAAAAATCGGTGAGTCCTTTTAAATATGTTTATAACATATAAATATATTTATACTACATGTTTATTAAAAAGTACCTTTGCCTCCCTTGTTTTTTTTCAGTGCTAGGAATGGTAGAGCTTTGTAAGTTCTCTGCCACTGAGTTAACATCCCCAGCCGTATCTCATCTAGAAGATCTCTTTTTCTATTTTCATTTTTTACTTTATGTGTAGGGTTGTTTTGCCTGCATGCATGTCTGTGTATCACATGTGGGCAGTACCCATGGAGGGCAGAAGAGAGTGGCAGATCCTCTGAAACTGAAGTAACAAGTGGTCTTGAGCCACAGTGTGGGTCCCGGGAATTGAATTTGAATGCTCTGGAAAAATGGCCAGTGCTTGGAACCACTGAGCCAACTCTCTAGCCCAGATCAGAGCCAAAGATGGCTCAGAAAGTTCCTGGAAATTTGTCAGAGTACCAAATAGTGTTATTTGCTCACTATCTTAATTACTAGGAAAGTGAGGATCCCACAGTGTATGGTGCAAACTTGGCCCTTAGACTTCCAAGAAAGGTCAGGTAACCTCCATGGCCACGGTTATCACAGAATGCTTCCTTCTGCCCCTTTCTAGCCTCCCAAAGTAGATCAAGTGCTGCCTACTAACTTCTTTTATGGAAGTGATTTTTTTAAGGTTTTTATTTTCTTTCTAATGGGGGATGGGGTAGGTGGGTGTGTGTTTGCACTTGAGTGCTGGTGCCTGTGGAGACTAGAAGATGGTATCAAATTCTCTGGAGCTAGAGTTACAGGTGGTTGTAAGCCACCTGATGGAGGTGACCCTCTGCAAGAAGAGTAGGTGCTTTTAACTTAGGAACCATTTACTTATCTCTTCAGTACTATAGGAATAATCCGCCCCCCATGTTTCTTTTCATTCTTTTCTCCTTTTTGTAGTTCAAACACACTGGAAAGTTCTAACATTGTAAATAACTAACTGAAGACCTCAGTTAATATTTTTTTACTTTGTTACATGTCTATGCATCCCTCAGAGCCATTCATCAGTCTATCTTTCTCTTTGGTGAATTTTTTTTTTTTTTTTGAGACATGGTTTCTCTGTGTAACCCTAGCTGTCCTGGAACTTGCTTTGTAGACCAGGCTGGCCTCGTACTCACAGAGATTCCCCCAGTCTCTGCCTCCCAATTGCTGGGATCAAGGGTGTGTGCCGCCACCACCTGGCTTCTTTGGTGATTTTCATGTAAGTTGCAAACACCAGTGCACTTCAGCCTTAAACTGTTCAACATCTGTACCACAAACCCAAGTTCAGAATCTAGTTGGAGGTTGTTTTTTTTTTTTTTTTTTTCCTGCTTGAAGCAGTGTCTCATGCAGTCAAGTAGCCCAGGCTGGCATTAACATTGCTATATGGGTAAGGATGAACTTAAACTACTGATCCTCCTTCCTCCACCTCCTAGCTGCTGGTATTATAGGTATGTGTCAGCACACCCAGCTCTCAGGATTTGCTTATAGTTCTTTTATGTGCAGTTTCTTGACAGTAAACTTTTAGGTGAACCAGATCAGGAATCTTGACCATATGTTGTTGTCACCCTACCCCCCCCCAGAACATGTCCTCTTGCTCCTTAGCTAGGAGGGCTTTAAGCAAGCAACCCCAGACCCCTCCTATTCCCCTTGTACATTCTCCATAGGCATTCCTTTCTTCCAGACAGTGGTTTCTCCAGATAACAACCTCTGCCTTGTACTTGATTCACAGGTGCTGTTCCCTTCTCTGCTGGCTCCCTTCTAGTTTACATGAACCTGGAGAAAATCTGGAATGGACCTCGGGACCGCTTCTCTCACTTGCAAAACTTTGCCAATGTCTGTATGGCTGCTGCTGTGAGCCAGACTCTTTCCTTTCCCTTTGACACTGTGAAGAGAAAGATGCAGGTGCGGAGCATTGGGCGGGGGTGGGAGAGGGGTGGGGGGGGATGAAACATTTGCAGTTAGGTAACCACAAAGAATGCTAGAGTCCGCCCATCCCCATCCTGCCCTACAACCCACTACTGATTTAATGTTTCTACTGAGCTCAGGGATGCTTATGCAAATACTGTGCAGGCTCCAACACTTCTGCTAATCTCAGGGTGACTAGCTATCTTCTAGCAAGCTTCCAGATGAGTCTCTCCCTTTTCTTTCCTGGCCCCTGAATACATCACGTATGGGTTCTCCTTCTTACAACACTAGAAAAGGACACTGCAGAATGCAGCCTGCTAACTTGCCCCCTTGATGCCACCACAAGGAGGACATAGCACTCTTTTTTTGTCACCGTGCCTTCCCACAGTAAAACTGACTAGTTAGAACTCAAATAAACCAAGAAACGCAGAAAAAAAAAAACTACATTTCAAGCTGGTGCTATCTTAGTGCAACTGGCCATGCATTGTCCTAACAATGACCCTGGGAAACATGTTCACTATAGAGCACAAAGGCAAAAGCAAACAAAAAAAGACTGCAAAACGAAGACCTACCTAAATTCTTATCAACGAAACCAAATTGGAGCAGCTGATATAACACAAGGGCATTGATTACAGCCACACGTTTAATCAGAATCCAAGCAAGACTGTCAGTTTTGTGCTTCCCCTAACCCTGCTCACTCCACTGGCGTCTCTACCTCCTTAGCCTCTGTGAGATGATCTTTGTGTCTCCAAAGCTCTGTGTGGAAATGAATTTGGGGACATTTGCATATGCAATGTGAAATGAGTAATCCCACAAGTTCCTTTCTCCATATGACTCTGACTTGTCCCTCCGGTTCCTCAATGCTCCTCCCTACTTCCTGTTTGCCTGCTACAGTATTCTTTGACCAGTCTGGTCAGGGCCAAAAAACCTGAAAGTCCTCGACTTACCAATGCTGTCTTCAGATATGGCAACACTCCTCTCTACCACTCTGATCCACAAAACATCTCATGTGTCTGGCTTGCCTTTTTCCTGTCCTTGTCCAGATGAACCACTGCCACGATGGCGTGACTGTAGACCAGGTACAAAATTAAGAGTCTTCTGCCTTTAATCCCAGCACTCGGGAGGCAGAGGCAGGAGGATCTCTGTGAGTTCGAGACCAGCCTGGCCTACAAGAGCTACTTCCAAGACAGCCTCCAAAGCCACAGAGAAACCCTGTCTCAAAAAAACAAACAAACAAACAAAAAGAGTCTTCTTAATTAAAATGAACATAACTTCTGATTTATAAAACACTACACATATTAAAACATGGTTAAAATGGTTGATCTCACATTATGTATGTTTTGACTGAAATAAAACAATGTAATATACATGTTGTTGGAGAAACTTTAAGTTTTAAAGTACGAAAATAACAAATTATTCTTAGGCCAACATGCATAGATTATAAGTTACTAGTTTTTCTTCTATGTATGTTCATATGTAGGGAAATTGTGTTCAGACTATAAATAAAAGTTAGTAGCCTGCTTTTTTCACTTATCACATAGCAGATACAGCTCTGGGCCATTAAGCATTTAACTATCAAATATTATTTCACCATATGAATATATTAGAAATAGTTAAAATTTCTCAGTTTTTAAATACTAGTTCTTAAACATAAAAACACTGTAATGAAATCTCTTGTGTTTTTCATGTTATAGTCCTAGAAACTGACTTAAGGTCACAAGACCTGAATAAGTCGAAAGCATCCTATTTTTAGGTATTGAGGATTGAACCCAAGGACATTCGTGAATTAGACAGGTATTCCCCTACCACTGAGCTACATCCCCTGCCCTTACATTTTTGTGTGTACTAAGATCTCCCTTAATCTTCCCAGGTAACCCAGGAAAGGCTTCAAACTACTTGAGAGCTTCCTGCCTTGGCCTCCAGGATCTAGGTTACTGGGATTTTAAGCATGAGTTACACACACACATGAACACGCACATGCACGCACGCGTGCACACACACACACACACACACACACACAAACACACACAGAGTCTCTCCTGTTTTTTGTTTTGGTTTTTTGTTTGTTTGTTTTTAGACAGGGTCTCTCTATGTAGTCCTGACTGTCCTGTAGGCCAGGTTGGCCTCAAACTCACAAACATCTTCCTGCCTCTGACTCCCAAGTGCTGGGATTAAAGGCGTACACCACCATTACCAGGCTCTTAGTGAATTTTTTCCTTTTTTTATTTAAATTAGAAAATCTTATTTCACACATCAATCCCAGTTCCCTCTCCCTCCCATTCTCTCATGCCCCCCACCGACCCCCATACTATCCCTCTTCTGCTCCCCAAGGAGGGAGATCTTCCATGGGGGATCTTCAACATCTGTCACATCATTTGGAGCAGGACCTCGGCCCTCCCCCTGTGTCTGGGCTGAGGGAGTATCCTTCTCTGTGGGATGGGCTCCCAAAGTCCATTCATATACTAGGGATAAATACTGATCCACTACCAGAGGCCCCATAGACTGCCCAGTCCTCCCAACTAACACCCACATTTAGGGGGTCTAGTTCTGTCCTATGCTGGTTTCCCAGCTGTCATTCTGGGGTCCTGTTAATGAAATTTATACTCCAGAAGGAGGCTTTCATTTGCATCAGCAGTAAGGGAGAGTGGTCTAGCTCCTGTCACTGACATTGTGAATCCAATAGCTGAAAATGCACTTACATTGCTTTAATTCAAATTCATTGTTTATTAAGTGAGGCTACACATTTTTCATGGCTGCCCCTTGCATTTATTTATAATTTTATATGTTTTGCCAATTTGGGGGGGATATCTAGATTTTCCTATTGATTGGTAACAGATCTTTACATATTAAAGGTTTTGACTTTTGCCATGCATTGCACATTCCCTTCCATATCATACCTTCTAGCATTTAGCTTAATGCTGCTTATGTGAGAATTTTTTGAGATACAGTCTCACAGTATAACCCAGGCTGGTCTGGAACTCACTATGTAGCCAGGCAATCTTCCTTCCTCTGCCTTGTAATTGCTGAGGTTACAGGTATATACCACCTCTTCCAGCTCTGTTTATGTGTTATGGTGTATATATTTTGAAATTTTATGTTAACTATGTACTTTAGCTCTTCCTTTTTTGTTGGTAACTTTACTTCTGTGTTTTAAAGGTCTCCCCATACAATCCTTATTAGTCAGTGCTTACATAATTGAGAATCTCACACATATTAGGCAAGGGTTCTACCACTGACTTACATCCCTAACCCCCAACTCTATGTTTATTCACCTGTTTGTTCCTTAAATACATTTTATTATAACTTTAACGCTTAACATTTTGCTATATTAAGAATGTGTAGTTTGCCAATCGAGTATGTACCATTTTAAAATAGTCTTTCTTTTCTCTACTTTGTGATATGACTTTCACCTGCTAGTCAGTAAATGTTTTCCTAGGTTTTCTATGTCTGGGCTGAGCATTCTTGTCTCAGCACCATCCTCTTTCAGCTCTCACTGCTTTCTAACACCCTGGAACTGCACTGATCTTTAAAACATTGCCTTGCTTTCTCCAAGTCACTCGCCTCCCTGGTAAACTTCAAATATGCCTTGCACTGAGGATTGGAATGACAGTGCAGTACAAACTTACAGCGATTTGTGTAAAACCCTCCATCTTTTCTTCAGCATCACAGTATGTACCCCTCCTTTAGTTTCGGTTCTCTTTTCTTTTAGGGTCAGTCATATAAGATTGCCACTATTCAGCCTCTTTCACATATTCAAATGATAACCAGAGGTTTCAACCCTTCTGGGAAAGGTTTTCTCTTCAGAAAAGATATTTTTCATAAAAATTTTATATTCTTTCTAGAAAAGTTCCCTTTTTGAAGTGCTGAGGATGGATCCGCAGGCCTCATGCCTGCTAGGTAGATGTGTTCCCACTGAGTTACAGCTCAAAAGATACTTCTAAAATCTTCACAGGGGGGCTGGAGAGTTGCCAGATCCCTCTTTTTAATCTCCTTGGGTACCAAGCACCCATGTGATGTATCACACATATTCGAGCAAAGCAGCCATACACATGAAACTATAAAATATACCTTTTTCAAGTTTGTAAAGAGCTCCAGAAAAGTAGGGAGAGGGCAAGGAAAGTATGACGATATCCTAAGATTTTACTCATTGTTAAAATTCTAGATCTAGGGCTAAGGATGAAGTTAAGTGATAAAATAAAACACTTGCCTAATGTGTGCAATCTGGGTTCACTCTCTAATAACACAGAGAGAGAGAGACAGAGAGACAGAGACAGAGAGAGGCAGAGACAGAGAAACAGAGACAGAGAGAGGGTGGGGGCTTAGGAATCTCTCTCGCATAGCAGGACCTCTCCCATGCACTTAGCTGGCCTTTGGTAACCTGTTCCCCAGCTGGATTACCTGGCCCTGCCTCAGCATAAGGGGAGGAGCTTGGTCCTGCGTCAACTTGATGGGCCATGCTTTGTGCGAGCCCATGGGAGAGGCCTGCCCCTTTCTGAATGAAGACAGGAGGGATGGGTGAGGAGGCAGGTAGGTGGGAAAGGGAGGGGACTGGAGCAGAGGAAGGAGGGAAACTGGTAGGTTTGTAAATTAATGAAAAAAAGTTATTTAAGAAAAAGAAAAGCAAACAAAAAGAATGTCTCTCTCGGGTGGTGGTGGCCATGCAGTCCTTTAATTCCCAGTATTCAGGAGGCAGAGGCAGGCAGATCTCTGAGTTGAGGCCAGCCTGGTCTACAGAGTGAATTCCAGAACAACCAGAGCTATACAGAGAAACCCTGTCTTGGAAAAAAAAAAAAGAGTTCATGATCAGCCTGGTCAAAAAAGAGAATCTATCTCACTGCCAGATACATCTCCAGCAGTTTCTCACGGCTTATGATTCTAGTGTAGCTTATGTAAAGTTTGGTGAGCTTAGCCACCTACCTCTAATGGACCTACCTAAATCCAGGACCTTGAGACCTGGGACTAGGACTATTCATTAGAAAAGGTTTCAAGTGACGTTC